GTAAGTGAGTTATCAAGTCACTTGGAATATATGTTATTAATTTATTAGCCCATCTAAATCACTACCGAACAATGAAAGCATCAAAGTTTTCATTTATTACCAAAGTAAATAAACTGTAAGTTCATATCTTAAAGAAAAGATTGTTTACTAAAGCGAAGATAACAAAAATGTATGAAAAGTTTGTTTACGAATGATTCTTTTTAATAATTTATCGATTAATAAGGAAAGCCCACACATATTCATAATAAATTATAAAATAACGGTTGTCTGCTTATTATCAAAACGTTTTCAAACTTTTGTTTGATGTTTTTGACTATAAAGTGATCGGGTTTTTTTTGTTTGAACGTTAAACCTCCGCATTCAGTTAATGTTGTCTTATTAAGATCGGGATATCTATAGATTATCAATATGAATAGTTCTGTCTCATTAAATTATTTACTTAATTACTTGTACTTGTTACTAACTCTTTTGAACGTAAGATCATCAATTTGTATTCTTCAACCTACACTGTCTTGGATTCTTCTTTCCATTTGTTGATAATTCACTGTTTGCTCTTTTCATATTCCGCTTTCCGATTTGATTTTACTTCATTATCTTTTAGAATAGAGGATCGGAAGTTGAAATTGTGACGTTTCTGTTGGTTGATAGTTGTGTTTACTTCACGAAGTTCTCCAAGCGAGGAAGTGTTTCCCCTGATCAGCCAATTCGCTCCTTTATATCCTCATTAGATCTACCTTCCTGAACATTGATACCACCCAGATATGTAAAGGTGTTTCATCCTCCAAAGTTGTATCATCAACTACGATAGGTTTTATCGGAGGATGTTGAGACTACTTCTACTTTTCTTGACTCCTCCTGCATTTGTTTGTAAATTAAATTGAAAAGATAAGCACGTAATCGAATGTTAGTAATTTTTTTGTCTGGAAAAAGGCGATTGTAGGCTGGAAGAGCGTTATTGACCTCAAAAAGCAGTTCCATCATCAGTCTATGAAGTTATGGAGAATCAGACTGATTCCTGTTAGTAGGTAAAGACTACATGGTTGGCGCCCACAAGACTTTGAATGATATGACTGAAAATTGTTTGGAATGGCGCAGATGCATCTATTCTTTGTCTCCTCTTGAATTCGAATCCTCTATTTTCTTCGTGACATCTTGTTTATCTCTGCTTAAGTTTATTCACTTTATACATATACAGAATCCTATCATCTAATACAAATTTTTCCATATTCAAAAATACTGCTACAACCTCCATCACTATCAATGGATTGTAATACGATGTGGAGACTTGAACTGACTGAAGTATTTATCAAACCCTAAATTTCAGCTGGCTTGCTGACAACTACTAATAACACTTTGTTGTGTAATATTCCAAAAGCAGCTTACAAGCGATATGCAGTGAATGTGCATCAGAGTGTCATCCTGCCGTCATGGTAGAAGTGTTAAGTGTATGATACAGCTTTATAACAAGATTTGTGTATTTCGAAGAACAGACGACATGTAGAATATGACAATCAAGAATAATCTTGTTTTATGATAAGTCATACACAATTTGGCTTGTAGATTGTATCCTTTATCACTTCAGTGTCTACTTCTTCATTCATAACAATCTAACTACTACTACTACTACTACTCCGACTACTACTACTACTACTACTACTACTACTACTACTCCGACTACTACTACTACTACTACTACTACTACTACTACTACTACTACTACTCCGACTACTACTACTACTACTACTACTACTACTCCGACTACTACTACTACTACTACTACTACTACTACTACTCCGACTACTACTACTACTACTACTACTACTACTACTACTACTACTACTACTCCGACTACTACTACTACTACTACTACTCCGACTACTACTACTACTACTACTACTACTACTACTACTACTACTACTCCGACTACTACTACTACTACTACTACTCCGACTACTACTACTACTACTACTACTACTACTACTACTACTACTACTACTCCGACTACTACTACTACTACTACTACTCCGACTACTACTACTACTACTACTACTACTACTACTACTACTACTACTACTCCGACTACTACTACTACTACTACTACTACTACTACTACTACTACTACTACTACTCCGACTACTACTACTCCGACTACTACTACTACTACTACTACTACTACTACTACTACTCCGACTACTACTACTACTACTACTACTACTACTACTACTACTACTACTACTACTACTACTACTACTCCGACTACTACTACTACTACTACTACTCCGACTACTACTACTACTACTACTACTACTACTACTACTACTACTACTACTACTACTACTCCGACTACTACTACTACTACTACTACTACTACTACTACTACTACTACTACTACTACCACAACTACTACCACTACTATTGCTAATACTACACTGATCACTCATACTAATAAAACTACTCACACTTATATTATCACAAGTATGATATCGAAGATCTTCTATGATGTTTACAAAAAGAGCTTCTCTATTAAAATAATAGTTACTTCTTCTTATCATCGAATAATTCAATTCATAATTGTACTGCTTTGAACTTTTGTTTATAAACAAATCTAAAATTGAATACAAATTGTATATGGTCTATCGATTCATATTACCTACGACGAATAATAATAATAATAAATTTACCAATTATATAATCACATCTCACACACTATAATTATACTTCATTTTCAAGATTCAACTCAACTCAACTCAACTCAACTAATTATTTTTACGCATTGTTTCATATATATATATATATATATATATATATATATATATATATATATATATATATATAGACTACACATTGAGAAAAATAAAACGAAACCTGAAACAACAGATAGTTCTCACAACATCAAAATGTACCAACTCTTTGTGATTTACATAAATTTATTGATAATCACAGTGGATGCATCCGTAGAAAATAGTAAGTTCGTTTGTTTTATTGAACTAATTTTGAATATGCCGTTAACATTGAATTTTTTTGGCAGACAATATGAATTTTGTAATGTTAAGCTTAGAAAAAAACATACTGTAGTGAAGAAGAACACAGGTGTGGGCAACCGAAATTGTATTTAATCGCAAATTACAGAGTTACTCAGTAAAAATAGGAAAACCATATCATAAACCGTCGTTTATTTGCAAATCTTCAATCCATTGTCTGACATTTCACTCACTATTCATGCGTTTCATACACAAATTCCATTGTGTTCCCCCCACTTTTCCTTTCTTGTTGATCTTCCCCCATCTTCTCTTCTGCTGCCAGACATTACGTTGACACTCATGTCATATACTACTTATAAGTAGCGCGCACCACACATATGATTACATAAGAAGTGACTACTGTCGTATACTTTTCTTAGAGAACCTGCTGTTTTTTAGTTCAATCTAATAAAATACCTTTAATAAAAATAAAAATATGTATCTTTAGTAAATTCCGTCTATATATACATATATGTATATACTTCTAGATACTGAGTGGAAAAAAGAATCGATCGTAAAAAAGTGGAATGAAATCAATGGTAAGACAATGGTTTGCAAAATCAATAACTCAAAGTATTGAAATCTTGATAATATTTTCAAATGTTTGAAGTCATGAACTGATAGGTGTCAGATCATCGTTTAGAAATCGGAAAGCAATAAACAATCGTTTCGATTTTGTCTTGGACTCATTATAAGTAAGAATACACTCACTGACTTTGAACATGGGAAATCAAACTGAAGGTTTTCTGTTTGATGAGTGAATGCAGAAGCGTTAGACCATTGTATCGTTACTTATTGGTGTTGATGTCAAACTTTGATCAGTCGAAGATATTAGGAGAGAATCTTTCATTTCCTTTGTTACGTAACTACGTCACATTCTTACGTTACCTGATTCCATACATACTATGACGAAACGATCGGCTAATGCTTTCCGGGGTTTCAATGGAGTTTTAACATTGATCAGTTGGTAATTTCAATGAAATTCATCAGCCTTCCTGACCATATGTTGGAAACTTTTCAATTTTACCTATTTGGTTCGTTTGTTTCATATAATCGTTATTCTAAGGAGGTTTGTGGGCAAATAATTATTTATTGAGATATATAATTTTCATACTAAGAATAATACCATCAAACGTAGATCTCATATGATCATTGGAATAAGTAATATTTCGCTATCACGATGAGAACGTATCCCGAAATGAGACAAACAGTATGAATTGTGTTTTTGTATGCCTTTTCGCGTCAAACTTAGCTACATGTTTTAATTCCCCGATGCCATATATATATGTATATGTGGTGTGTGCTACTTATACGAACGTGAAAAAAGTCTCACGGTCAGAAGAGGAAAAAACGGAAAGCAAATGTAGCAAAAGCAAGAAGTAAATGGAGTACCGACAGGAATGGAAGAAGAAGGATGGAGTGTTGGAAGTCACGACTCAAAGATGATGTGCAAATAGAGTACTGTTCAATGTAATGTTTTCGTTTTGTTTGGCAATTCCTCGTCCGGTTCCTCCGCATATATAGCATTTATTATTTCTTCCACCCTTTATTCGTAACGCTGCCACCTCGCGTTGTAATTCTTCTATCTTCTTCGCGACGTCATCAGCCTGTCTCTCCCATGCCACCGAGGCGACTGTTGAGTTAACCAGCTGTCTTGTTACTTTAGCCAGCTCGGTGACGTCCATTGGTTGTCCCGCGTTCACCAGTCTCAACTGTTGGGTAACCTCTGCAGGCACATTTTCCATGAATTCCGACGCTAGCAGCTGTGCTTGCAATTCCTCATCCCAATTCGGCAGACCCCGACGCAGCAATCTTGTCTACTCCACAGCCAGCTTTAGGGAATCGCCATCCACCATCGGTCTCGCCTCTTGGAAATTCTGCAGTGCTTCCTGCCTATCCGCCAGGTTGTCGAACTCCACCATCTGCCTTTCCGTCACCACCTCACAGCCAGCGTCCTCTACACCATCGTACACCGCTCTCGCCCTGCCTCTTAGTAGAGTCTCCAACACCACCGCCTTCGCCCTCTGCTCCTTGACTCCCACCAGCTCCGCCGCGGCCTCGAACTCATTGAAGAAGCTCCTTACATCTCCGTCTTCAAACTTCCGAGGCCATGGGATCTCCATCCTGTGTAGAGGCAGCGACACCAATTAAGAAGACTGAGGCATGCAAAGAAGATTGTAATATGCAAATTTACACTCTTAGTCAATTAAAAACGACAACATTACATTGAACACTCTATTCGCACACCATCTTTGAGTTGTGACTTCCAACGCTCCTAACTTCTTCCATTCCCGTTGTTGCTTCCTTTAATTCCTGTTGGTACTCCATGTACTTCTTGCGTTTGCTCCCTTTGGCTTCCGTCTTCCTCTTCTGACCGTGAGACTTCTTCTTTCACGTCCCTTCTTATACTACTTATATCGTTCGTATAAGTAGCACACGCCATATATATATATATATATATATATATATATATATATATATATATATATATATATATATAGATATATATCATGAACTATATTGTTAAATAGAGCTGAAAGTTTTAATAGGACCAGAGGTTGGTTGTGAACGATGTAGATGGTTTGTAATACTTTGGAAATATTAACAGGGTAACAGGTTTCATTAATACTGGGTAGTTGTTGCCTTGCAACATTCCCGAAGACCATGGTCATTGAGACTCTGTAATGCATGTCATCACTGCTAGTAATAATACGTTTGACAGTTATGTAACCCGGATAAGTCAAAATGACCTCTTAATGAGGTCATACATATATCTTAACATATCTTAACACTGATAAACAGTTTATTATTCAGTGCATTTTACACTTTGATATGTAATCAATCTTCAGATGAAATTAAAAATGCACTGAATGATTTTGATAATGCTGAGAAACAATTACAAAATGTTACAGGTAAGTAAATTCCTTGATACGCTCATGAGCATTTTTGAAAATATGACCAGTGTAATTCAACTATATTGAGTGCAAAAGAGTTATTCAATTAAGATTAGGGAATATGTTCATTCGCTGTCATGATTTGTCTGAAGTCGGACGTTAACTCGGTGTAAAAAGATTATTGTGTCAGAGCGAGCGTGTTTGTGTGGTGATTCACCTGAATAGATGGAATCATGTATGCTAGCCAGTGAGGAATCTTATACTAAGAACCAAGAGATAGTCCGATACTTCCTCGTTTTTTGTAATGGGGTAGCTAAGTTTAGTATGTGATTTAGCGACATGAACTTCTGTAAACCCATAGTTAATGAAGAACCATTAAACGCACGTATTTATTTTAGTCTTTTATTCATTGTAACCCATTTATTCATGTTGAAAATATTAAATTCTCTGTAAAATCTCTTACTGGAAATAAATTTTGTTTTCTGCATACATGATGGTCAGTGAAGACTTTGTTGAAGTTTTTTACAGTCATTGGGAACAATTACTTAATCATTTAGTGGTGTTGTACGTTTTTACGATTATCTATTCACGTAGTTTTAAATGTTTTTCAAGACTTATGGAGTTTTGATCCGTTTTGAGAATTACACACTTATGAATTAGATTGTGAAATATTAGGAAATAATTGAGCTTAGTAATAATCACCGTTGGTGAGTGATTTAATAATTGGTAGGTTAGGCGTTCTTGAACATGACAGATGGTTCTATATTCGACTGCCATGTGATCCTACGTGAATTGAACTTGCTTATGAGTCTAATTCTAGGACGGTATGACCATCCAGTAATTTCAAGTTTCAATTAATTTAGAGCAATGAAAAATGTTCATATACCACTGAAGTTATGTTTGATATTCAGTTCAACTAACTTATGAGCATGTGGTTAATGAGAAGTTTACATACTCGTTGAAACATTCAATCTATATCTTAATATCTATCAGTTCTAGAATATAACATAAGAGCACATACTTGGGCTAAACAATCGAAATTTCATGTCACTTCGAAAGCTCTATGTGAAAAATTCAACCGTTCCTATTCAATAACAAAAGTTGTTATTTGGATTTATTCGCCTGAATCAATCAAATGTTTAGCTAAAGTTTCATTTTAGATATTGATTTTTCGGATTTAGCTAGCGAAATTTCAGTAAAGTATCATAGTTCGTTGCAAAAATTCATTTTTGTTTTCAGATTATTTGAAGAACATATCAAGAGATGTCTATCAACGAGTCAATAAATGTAAGTGACGAAATTGTTAAATTTTGCGAATAACAATGTTTGTTTCGATCGTAGATTTGAAATGTGCAAATAAGCGATTGGAAGGTGAACATGGATTGCAACTGATGGAAGGTTTGATGATTGAAACTGATTTTTATTTCATCTACACTTTCATTGAGAGTAATTTTTCACTAGTCCATTGTATTTATTAACATATTTGTATATGAAATACGATTAAGTAAAATGAGTGGAAGTCGTCAACGATGTCTCATGATTAACAACTCTGCGAGTACAT